AATCATGACATGAGATTTTAGGACCTGCAAAATTTAAAATAACTCAGAAGCAGTGGATCAAAGTGTGTTTTGTAGAATTCTTTCAAACTGGATGAGGCCTGACTACAAAGGCCTGCGCAAATGCATTGAGCATTATGGGGACTATGTGGAAGTGTAACTCTAAGTAGAGGAATTTAATGGCTAACTGTATGCATATTCAGTGTTTCCATCTCTGCAAAGTTAAACATTCTACATCTCAACAGGCATAACTTTTTGATACTCACTTGTGTAAAACTTATATCAAGGGGGCGTGGCCTGCATCTCCCGGCACCGGCCTAATCTCTAGCTGATGATACAGTACCTCTTTTTGGATGTCTCGGGTGCAGGGGAGCCAGGTGTGTCTCAGGAGCTCCCGACAGTCTGACTTGGCGGATTTCTTCGCCCCCGCGGGCGCCTCGAGCCGACCTGGGGACACGCAACTCATGGCGTCTACCCGCTCAGCAACTGCAGGCCCCACTCCTTCCAAGGCCCGGGGTAAAGTTACAGCGCTGCCCCTCGATGTGGAGGATTCGGCACGCGATCGGCGCCCATCACCGATCCCCTCGCCGGAATTCTCTATGACTGCATCGGGCGCCCGTTCTGGGACCGAGGTAAGCGAGGGGGGAGACTGGAGAGAGATTCTCCCACGTCTCACCACGAAAGGCGACCTGGAGGACATGGCTGCACGAATAGTGGCGGCCCTCAGGCAGGAGGTGCAGGAGATTGGGCAGAGGGTGACATCCCTAGATGGTCGGGTAGCTACAGTGGAGGAATCTACCACAGCCCTCACACAGCGAGTAGCGGCCCTGGAATCGGCCCAGTCTGCCATAGGCACCCAGATGACCATGGCATTTCTCCGCCTAGATGATGGCGAGAACCGCAACAGACGTAACAACTTACGCCTGAGGGGCATCCCTGAAGCCACCATGGGACGGGATCTTCGCTCCACGGTCGTAGCGATTCTCAACCAATACCTGGACAAGCCCCCGGCGTCTGAGATGGAACTGGACCGGGTACATCGCGTCATGGGCGCCCACGCAACAACTCACACCAACCCTCCACCACGGGATGTGTTATGCCGGGTGCACTTTTATTCAATCAAGGAAGAGATCCTGAGGCAAGCCTGGCATAAGGAGCCTCTAGATTTTGATGGTGCACAGGTTCAAATTATGCCTGACCTCTCTAGACATACCCTCCGCATGCGCAGATCTATGAGGCCTTTGCTGGAAGTCATTCGCTCTGCTGATGCCTCCTATAGATGGGGCCACCCATTCCACCTCATCGTGAGGAAGGGAGACTCATCATTCTCTCTGCATCACCCTGCACAGCTGCCAGACCCGTTTGCCTTCCTGGAAGCTGAGGTGATACCGATCCCGAATTGGCTGAACTTCTCTTATGACCGCCCGCCCACGGTCGGCTTCCCGACGGGACCGGCCAGGAGAGGGAGATCCCGCAACCGAGCCAGCCAGAGGAATGTCCCCGGCCCTTCCCATGCCAGAAGTGAGACCTGAAGTCCCCACCGGATGGAATCCTGGCTCCTATCTCAGGTTTTATGTGCATTTTCCCATCCCACAGTTGTTGTTTGCTCTGTGCAAGTTAGCGCTGTTCATTAGACTTTTCTGATGTTAAAGGGGGCCCCCACTAGGGGGCGCCACTGGCCGTCCTGTGACTTTCGCCTCCTTATTGCCTTTGTAGGGCCAGTGGGGCCTTGGGTGGACTCTCGTTCAACACCGTGGATGGGTTAGAGAGGTAGCTAAGCAAGGTCAAATGTTTTATTGCCATACTTTTGTTATTACACGTATCTAGCCAGTTAGATATGGGATGACGGGCTCCAAAGGTCATGGGTGGGGGTTCTCTCAGCATCATGGTGTGGCTAGCGAGCGAGTTATGTTCTGTCTTATGTTTTATTGCCATGTTTATGTTATTTCATTTATTTACCCAGTTATCTGCGGGAAGACAGACCGCCCATTGGAGGGGGGGAGGCCAGTAGCTGATCCCTCGTGGGGGTAGCTAAGGAGTGACACTCTCCTCAAGTGTGGCTGCTCCAACTTACTGCCTGGGAAAAGAAGGGCGGGATCCTAGTATAGTACTGTACTTACATCCAATAATCTAGGTTGAGGTGCCGAATAGATGCATCTCCTACATTGCTATTGTTCTTACCATTGTTTTGTATTAACTTCACCCCCATAGGATACACGCTCACGCCCTATAAATACAGGGGTGGGCGTGACTCAAGAAGGTTTTGGCTGACCTGTAGTCAGTGTCAGCGTCTTTTTCCTCTTGCTTTCTCTTTTCTAGATCTACTACACTCTCTTCCTCTACTTGTCTGGACTTCCCTTTTGCTCCCTACCCCTGCTGCATCTTCTCCTTCTTCCCCACTGTTTCCTCTTGCCTCCCTCAAAGCCCCTCACGGGGAGGTGGCATGCTATGGCTCCCCTCTCGTTGTACTCCCTGAAAGCTAGGGGTTTGAACATCCCTGAAAAACGATTGAGGTTGCTATCAGATCTGCAGAGAGCCAGGGCCCAAGTGGCTTTTATACAGGAAACACACTTCAAAAAAGATGCTATCCCCAAATTGACAAACCGGGATTATCCTGTGGTGTACCATGCAGCATCACCGCTCTCCAGGACTAAAGGAGTAAGTATCTTACTCTCTAAATCAGTGGCGTGGACATGTCTGGATCAAATAACAGATGAGCTGGGTCGGTTTTTAGTGGTTAAGGGACGCGTGGGAGTTACCACAGTGACACTGGCCAATGTGTACCTACCTAACACAGACCAGCTACAATTCCTGCAATCTTTTCTCCCCCGCCTGGAGGACTTCCAGGAGAGGACTCTGATTTTGGGTGGGGATTTCAACATGGCCATGGATCCCATTATTGACACCTCAAGGGGCGCTTCCCACCTTTCCTTCTCCTACCTTAAGCTAGCACTCCACCAACTGCAACTCGTTGACGTGTGGCGTACCCTGTACCCGGAAGGGCGGGACTTCACATACTATTCCACAGTCCATCAATCCTACTCAAGAATTTACTATTTCTTCACCAGACATGGGGACCTGACTAGAGTTATATCGACTTCCATAGGCTCCCCGGTTCTCTCTGATCATTCCCCGATCCAGCTATGCATTGACCTCTCAGCTCCCACCTCGAGGAGTTCCTCATGGAGGCTTAATGAGTCCCTACTGCAAAACCCAGTTATATATGCAGATCTGACGACTTCTCTGACGGCCTACTTCTGCATAAATGCTACTGATCAGGGGAGGCACACAAATGTGTTCTGCGGGGCATCCTTATTCGGCATGGTGCGAGACTGAAAAGGGAACGGAATGCCCAAATTGAGGCCCTGATGTGCCGCCTACGCAGACTAGAGGTGCCCCACAAACAGTCACTGGCAGTGGCGACCTAACGGGACCTCGTTCAGGTCCGGGAGGCGCTGAATACTATTCTGTTTGTTCAGGTGAAGAGACAGGCAATGTTTGCCTATATGAGCATGCAAATGAACCGGGTAGGTACTTAGCCGCAGTGGCGTAACCAGAGTTATGGGCGCCCGGGGCAGAACATTTTTTTCGCCCCCCCCCATATTATATAAACATCCACTAGAACTGTACCCCCCACCCCCACACATATATATCAGCTAAACTTCACGGTCCCGTGCTACCGAAAGTTCCTGGATCAGTTGTCCCCCCATTTCCTGGCAGCCTTCAACTCTATTCTACTGAATCGCCCCTTTCCAGTTGATTCTTTGAGGGCACATGTGGTAGTGATTCCTAAGGAGGGAAGGGACCCGGCGCAATGTGATAGCTACCGCCCCATAGCCCTCCTCAACGTAGACCTGAAACTGTTCGCAAAAATTCTAGCCACTAGACTCGCGCCATGTGTCCAAGCTTTAGTACAGGATGACCAGGTGGGCTTTCTTTTGTCTAGGGAGGTCAGGGACAGTGCAACCCGGGTCATAAACCTAATTCACGGAGCGCGTTCCACGTCCTCCCCGTTGATGGTCCTCTCAACCGATGCCGAGAAGGCGTTTGACAGGGTGGACTGGCAATTTTTTAAGTCCACCCTACGCCATATCGGTCTGGGTCCTCATATGCTGATCACTCGCTGCCCTATCTGGGGACACATATCACGGCAGATTTGAACGCACTCTACGAGGCAAATTTTGTTCCCCTCTTATCGCAGATCAAACAAGACTTAAAAGCGTGGCAGGCCCTAACGGTGACGTGGTTTGGACGCTGCAATGCACTAAAAATGACCATACTCCCCAGAATACTGTTTCTGATGCAATCGTTACCCATCCGTCTACCACAGGCTTTTTTTTCTCGCTTACGCAGAATGTTCTTGTTGTATGTTTGGGCGAACGGAGTGCCCAGAATTGCCAGACGCCTCCTTACTATGCCTAAGTCAGTGGGTGGGATTGGGCTTCCAGACGTCCATCTGTACTATAAAGCAGTACATCTTAATAGGGTTGTAGACTAGTGTTGCCACTCCGCTCTTAAACAATGGGTACGCATGGAATTGAAGACCGCCCCGCTCCCGCTCCCAGGCCTTCCGTGGCTCTCCAGCCCAATGCCCACATCTTGCTCCCAACATCCCACGATAGGTGCCACTCTAAGGACTGTGAGGATGTTGTTCCGCACCTCCTCCATCTCCCCGCTCACCCCGGTGATAGGGGACCCAGACTTCCCAGTGGGGATGGAAAACTGACGCCTACGCACTCTAATTGATCTCGGCAAATTTTGGATACGGGACTTTAGAACGGGGGGAGGTTGGCTGGAGACACCCGCACTGCAATCTCTTCTGGAGCCTATCCCAGACCTACAAGATGCTAGTTGCCCCCCACTAGACTTCGCCCCGCAATTTTTAAGGAAGTGGGAAGCAGACCTGGGTACTACATTTACCCCGCACCAGAAGGACACAATGTGGTGCGGAGGTGTTCCTGCTACACATGACCAGTCTCTCGAGACGCAAATACAAGGCGTCGTTATCGATCCACTTGCTTAATGCTGCCAAGGCCTGTGTCCCGTCTCTCTGGAGGTCGGCCCAGGCCCCATCCCTGCGCCTTTGGCTCACAAAGGTTAATGAGATTCACCAGTTGGAGGATCTCACGGCCACGGTTCACAACACAGAGAAGAAATTCCGAGACACCTGGAGAGCGTGGACGCATTACACCACTACTGACGCTTACCTCCGGATCATGACCCCAGAGGGGAGCTCTTGAGTGCTGACCCCCGCATGAGACTTAACTGTCCTAAGACATGGGTAGATCCATTGCCCTGTATGGAAGCATTGGCTCCAGAGGTTGCTACCCTGGGGGGGCCACTGGGGTAGGCAGGGGACCCTTCCTCCCTTTGTTTCCCCCCTTTCCTTCTACTTTCGCACTTACCTTTCTCTTTTTCTTTTACCTTCTCTCTTAACTGTTCCTCTTCTACAAATCCTGGTGGACTACCACCCAACCGCCTTATTGAACCAAGGATAGCTGCTTGGAGACCATGGCTTCCGCACCCGGGACCCTGGGTCCAAGGGAGGCCATGTTCCCCTTCATAGATATGATCCTTCGCACGATTGCCACTTGGAGGGCAACTGATAATGGAACATAACGAGGAGTGGTTGGGTCAGGCTAACTGATTAGTAACAGCATTGGTGTCAGCAACCGGGACCGAGATGTTTTATTATACCATTGTGACTTGTACCATATCGACTTGATTGTAATTTTCTTACTTGTTATGATATGTACACTTTTACTTGAAGAAAGTTCAGATGGCTGTCTGCGTGCAGCTTTATGCATACCGTATCTGTATCAACATATGTTTTTTGCACAATAAACATAGATTTAAAAAAAACAACTTATATCAACTAATCAAGTGTGCTCCCTAAGTGAATAATTGAGAAATATGTTGCTTTCACAACGCGACCCCTGCAGTTTTATGTGTGTGTTTAAGGTTGTGGGGGGAAGGGTGGATTGGGTTATCTAAGGTCTTTCAATATTTCCCAGCCATGGTGCCTGGGTTTGCTTGGATAGTGCATAGAAGGGTTTCCATTGTTAGGATAATTATTAAAGGCAGAAAGCAGGTAACCCTTCAAGTCTATAATTTTGCCACTTTATAGATCATTGGTTCGACCTCATCTGGAGTACGCGGTCCAGTTCTAGTCACCAGTACTAAGAAAAGATGTCCTTGAGTTGGAAAAAGTCCAGCGGAGGGCAACCAAACTAATTAGGGGTATGGAGGACCAGAGCTACGAGACAAGGCTACTAAATTTAAACATGTTCACATTGGAGGTGAGGAGATTAAGGGGGGATATGATCTCCATGTACAAAATGTTCAATGGTGGCAGCAACATTAGCGATAAACTGTTTAAAATTAACTCCATTACAAAAACTAGAGGCCACCACCTAAAATTGGTGGAAAAAAAATTCCAGCACAAGGGGCGAAGGGGGTTCTTCACAGTAAGATCAGTTAGGGTCTGGAACTCACTGCCACAGACAGTGATTTCAGCAAAGAATGTGGAATTGTTCAAGAAACTTTTGGACGATTTCTTAAGGGACCGTAATATACAGGGGTACAGGTACTCCTAGAATGAGATCCTAATAGGTTGGACTTGATGGACTAATATCTTTATTCAACCTCAAATACTATGTAACCCTGGTAAGTTCTGTTTCGGATGTTGAAATAATTGAAAAGGGTTTCATTTATCCTTATTGCAGCCAGTGAATGGTAATCTGGAGCTTGATTTAATGAGGTTGATTTAATACATAATTTAATAAAGGCAAATAGGCTGTTCACTGTGCAATGGAATTTGCACTTTGCAGGGGAAGTTTCACTTAGCTTAGTAAATGTGGTGTAACTTAATTTTGTAAAGAATAGCCGATCATGTGCAAGGAAAATTAAAAATGTTTTCTTAAACATGATTGGACGATGTGAACAGCCTATTTGCCTTTATTAAATCAACCCCAGTGTCTCATGTGTGTTCCCCAGCCTATATGGGAGAGGGTTTCTTGAATGAAGTGTCAAATGACCCTATTGAATGTCTTCTTGATATCTGTTTATAGCAGTACTGTTGGGGTTTTGAAGGAGGTAGCATGGCATTTTTTTATACCCTTACCAGTGCCTCTCATTTTTAAAACACTTGACTCAGCTAGCATCTCAAATTTAAGTCCTGAACTTACATCTCAAACTATTTCCTATTCAACAGTCATAGCTTAAAAATAAAAAAAATATGGAAACACAAATTAGCAGAATGTATTTCCACAGATGTATGAATGAATGAATATAACATGGCCCTTTTTGTACTTAGGAAAGCCTATGAAAAGAAATTGGCATATTTACATATATTCTTTACAATAAGCATGGTTTACTTCTCCTGCATACCTAATAAACATGCATTTTTAAATCTGTATTAAATGTTTTAAAACAATACCACATAACTTGTAGATATTCTCGCAAAGTAACCATTTTGTTTGACTTTGTATTCTAAATTATTAGATTCTAAATTATTTAGACATAAATTATAAATTATTTATTTATTATTGGTATTTATATAGCACCGACAATTTACGCAGGGTTTTACACAGTGCACACTTACATCAGTCCCTACCCTCAAAGAGCTTACAATCTAAGGGCCCAATTTCACATGCATACATATGAGGGTCAATTTAGACAGGAGCCAATTAACCTATCAGCATGTCTTTGGAGTGTGGGAAGAAACCGGAGTACCTGGAGGAAACCCATGCAAGTACAGGGAGACCATGCAAACTCCTTGTAGATAGTGTCCTGGCTGGTTCGAACCAGCGACCCCCAGTGTTACAAGGCAAAAGCGCTAACCACTCTGCCACTGTGCTGCCCACACAGTGAGAAAAAATAACAAAGGTTCAAAACAATACAAAAGCTATTTTCTCTATATGACTTAGACCATAACAATAATTCTTTTTGACAATAGCAGTTGTTAATTAAGCTAACTTTTCTAAATACAGTATACCCTTTTGCCTTGTAATTGGTATTTGTTCTGCAACCAACTGAAGCATAGCAGACAGGTACTCTGCAAAATGTGTATTTATGCTTCCATCCTTTAGCTTGGTTTACCTAAGCAGAAAATTAAATTTAAAGTAAAACAGACAACTTGTGATTCTCCTCACCAGTCTTTCCTTTTGACACTTAAGGTATATATTGCTAATTGGGTTATGAGTACTTATAATTTCCAGAAAATCACTCAGCTATGATTTTGCTTGGCTTTGTCTACCCCAATGCCTCCTCCAAATGTATGATATTTTAATTGACAGATTAGAGTGGCTTAAGAGAAGCTTGCCAAACCCACATGTGTATTTCTAAGTAGAAGAGCAAGCCAGTTAAAGTAGACATCAGGCCACAAGCAATGTGGAGATGTACCTGATGCCACAAAGCTATTAGTGAGTACATATTTACTTTTTGCATAACGTATATAAAATATTATGCTAGTTAATTGTAAATATCTTAAATAGTTCTTACCTGTTTACAATTAGTTGCCTCATGGCATTCTTTTGAAATATCAGCTGTGGGAGGATAACCAGTATCAATGAGATTTTCAGTGGGGACATTCTGGAAAGGCTTCAGATAAGCAATTTCATTCTGCTTTGAGTCAAGAGTCACACACACATCATAGGAGAAAGGGAAAGGTAGACTCGTATCACTGATCTCAGAAGGACAACCCAGTGTGAACTGAGGGTACACATGTCTGTTATATACTCCTAAGTCAGTTTGGGAGCTTGCTTTTCTGCATTTAAAAATTATTGTAGCCATCACTGTTACAATAAATAACATAGATATAAGAGCTATAGCTATTATTAGGAAATATGATACATTTGATGAGGTCTGTAATGTATTCGGTTGTCTTTTTATCTCAGGCACAACTTGTTGAAAGCTTTCAGCCATTACTAAATTCAATGCGACGGTAGAAGACAGACATGGAACACCATTGTCCTTTACGAGAATCACAACCTTTTGTCTGAAAGAATCTTTGTCTGGAAGGTCTCGTCCTATTCTGATTTCACCTGTCTGCTGGCCAATAACAAACAGAGAAGGTTCAGAAACTTGTAAGAAATGATAGGAGAGCCAGGCATTGTGTCCAGAGTCAGCATCCACCGCAATCACCTTGGTCACTAGATAACCTTTCTCGGCAGTGTGAGGAATAAATTCAAATAATCCTGATTCTTCATTTTCCTGAGATGGATAAAGGATTTTAGGACTATTATCATTTTTGTCAATAATGCAAACCCTTACTGTGACATTACTGCTTAGAGCAGGAGTTCCACTATCTTTGGCCATCACTTGGAAATGAAATTCACGTAACTGTTCATAATCAAAAGATCTCTGAGCATAAAGAATTCCAGTCATTGAGTTTATGGACATGTATGAAGATACTGGAATTTCTTCTATGTTACTGCTTAAAATGTTGTAAGTGATTTTTCCATTTTCATCACAGTCACGATCTACAGCACGGACATTGAGTATCGAGGTTCCTGGTTGATTGTTTTCTGAAATATAGAAAATGTATTGCATTTTCTCAAAAACAGGAGGATTGTCATTCACATCTGAAATAGCCAACGGTATAGATTTATTGCTTGTCAAAGGAGGTGATCCATTATCCACACACTGAACTGTAATGTTGTAAATGGAATTGAATTCTCGATCCATGCTTGCTGTAGTGACAAGTTTATAATAACTACTAGAAGTTGGTATTAGTTTAAAGGACAGTGTGTTAGAGCTCTGACAAGTAACTTCACCATTCATTCCGCAATCCAAATCCTGAATTTTGATCACCGCTACGACTGTACCCTGTGGTGAATCCTCTGGAATTGTTGATGAGGAGGAAGTGACCGTTATTTCTGGGGCATTATCATTTATATCGATCACTTGAATTAATATTTTGCAATGAGTGACATGTCCACCTCCATCTTTAGCTTCTACAGTCATTTCATAACTGTCTGATGTTTCATAGTCCAAATTTCCAGATATTTTAATATCCCCATTCAGAGGATCTATAACAAAGATTTGCTGGGCATTTTCAGAAATTTGGCTAAATGCATAGGTGATTTTCGAATTAGAGCCTTCATCTTTGTCAGTTGCATTTAAACTAATCAGTACAAAATCAAAAGGTGCATTTTCATGCAATCGTATAAATGCATAGGTGATTTTGGAATTAGAGCCTTCATCTTTGTCAGTTGCATTTAAACTAATCAGTACAAAATCAAAAGGTGCATTTTCATGTAATCGTATGTGATATTTGTCCTGGGAAAATACTGGATAATTATCGTTAACATCTTGAACGTCAATTTTAACTATCACTGAACCAGACTTTGGTGGTTGTCCACCATCAAAAGCAGTCAAAACGAATTCATAGAAACTTTGCCTTTCCCTGTCAAGTGACTTTTCTAGTATAATTTCTGGGTACATAATTCCATCATTAGTATGTTTCTCCCCAAGGCTGAAGAACTCAGAACTTGTAAGTGTATACGTTTGAACAGAATTGGTGCCTATGTCTGGATCTTTAGCAATGCCTAGTGCAAACCGTACACCAGGTGAGGTAAGTTCACTAATTTCTATATCAAAATATTTCTTAGAAAATAAAGGAGCATTGTCATTCACATCCTGAATTTCAATAGTAACTGTATAAAAATTCAAAGGTTTTTCTATGACAGCTTCAAGGTTCAAAATACAGCTCTGTTTAGCCCCACATAATGCTTCTCTGTCAATGATTTCAGACACAAATAAGTCACCTGTCTCTAAATTCACATTGAAATACTGTTTTTTTTGCTGAGCAATCACTTGGAACTTTCTGATTGTGAGTTCCTTCACATTCAGCCCAAGATCCTTTGCAACATTCCCAACTACAGATCCTGTCTTTAGTTCCTCAGGTACTGAGTATTGTAATTTTCCAGAAATATTTCTAGTCAAAAAAGAAATAAAGCAAAATACTTGCCATACCATGGCCATCTGTGTTATGCTATATCCTGTCTTATGATCCATTCTGCACTGGAAAATACATCAATTTGGCCTCCTTTTACAAAGTTTGGAAAGTAGAAAATAGAACTAAAATATCCAGTATATTTTGTGTAAATATTCAGAAAATCCAGGAAACACAGTGGAAATTGTGCTGCAGTGCTTTCTTCTAACCTGTACTGTGAGACTATAGTATAATTCATTGGGTTTTATCATCCAGGCAGGATAGATTTTTTTGCAGTCCAACAGTGACACTTAGAGCTCAAAATATGGTATTGCCGGTTTAGCCATTTACATTTAACATCAAAAATGCACTAGTTCAAATTATTTATAAGAATTGCATGTGTTTTCATTAACTACTGCTTTTTTTGAGCAAAGAATACATACATTTTTCCTATGTAGTAAATACTCAATATCAATCTATTTCAAATTACTGTATATACAGTACAATTATAAATAAATTCCATGCTTTAAAGATAACTAACATTGTCCATTTAATTCTAATGCTGTACTTCCTATTGTGTTGTTTAATACTTTAATAAGCATCAGTAATTTATTATATTACAATGAAATATGTCATAATTATACCAAATACAATTATTATACCCAACCCAATTTAGACCTAACTTTACACAAGAAACAGAATATGCTGCAACACACAAACTGCAAGAAATGAGAATGCTTGACCTTAACCCTTTCTCTGACAGTCCCTGCACTCCTCTTCTAACCTCAGGTGACCAGACCATTTTTCACTTTCAGCTTTTAAAGTTTGTAAGAGACCCCTCAAACCATAACGATAGGCTGATTTGCCTCACAATCTTTCAATAGTTTTAAAGGTGTGGCCAGTTCCAGAATATCTGTCATAAGGTTCCTTCTTGTGATTCACATCTCCAACATTTATGTGAAAGGTGTGGGAAAACCCAGTGTGGGTAAACTAGTGCTGGAGGGTCAGGGTTTTTTTTTTCAAACATTTTTTTATTGAGTTTCCAGTAAAGCATCAAACATCAAAGCTTAACAAAGAACAAAGAACAAAGAACAAGGAACATGCTCATGTCGTACTGCCATTAAAGAGATGCATGCAAGGACAAAGAAAAACAAAAACAAAAAGGACAATAAGAAATACTATCATTAGAATGGTACATAGTAAGTCAGATGGTACAATTGCGATATGATGGTACTGTCATAATGCCTGATCCGGTGACCGTCTACTAACCTACATTCGTATGGGTGTGGGTAGTGGACATTCCCATTAGATCGGCCTGCCGCAGGTGGGTTTCCTGTAGTAGGGCAATGTGGGTCTTCAATTTAGCAAGATGTCGCAATACTCTAGTACGTTTCTGGGGTGAGCGTAGTCCCTTCACATTCCATGTAACAACATTAATCGTGGAGGACATAGCCACAGTGAATGGGAGTAAAAGCGGGAGTAGGACACCCGTGCACATGGCTCTCCGGTCTCCCGCATACATATTGGCCAAGCATAGGTAGTATGGGATAGAAGTATAACACTCCCCTGGGGTCTGCATAAGCTAGCAACATAGAGGGAAACATTGGTATACAAGTCACTGAATATTGTGCATAATAGGTCTGTAAATTGCATGCATGTACCAAATCTGGACGTACGGACTTGAGCAAATCAAACATATTCAAAATCAACCCGAAAAAATAACAAAACATCAACATTAACATTAAGACCCATCCTCCAGGAGGTGATCCACTCAGGATCCATAGACCCATATCATAGTGAGTCAGCTCAGTGGAGCAAAAGATGGGTGAAAAAAAAACACTAGTCATGGCACTCCCTTTTTTCCTACAGGTCGTGTCCGGATCAAAAAGGAAGAGTTTTTCTCGTACGGGACCAGGGAGATGGAGGGCCTATGAGGCTAGAGCCACTCGATATTCGAGGAAAAGAAAAATATATCGAGATTAAAATAAAAATAAAAATGTAAATGTATATAAAAGTTATAATAAAAGTAAGATTATGAGTACCGAGCATATTTACGTGACGGGGCAGAGTCCACGGTCAAACCCCCGGAACGTGGAGGCAGGTGCCCAACAGGGCAAACAGGTGGTGTCCAACAGCGATCAAAGTTGCCAGAACTCCGACGGAAAAAATATTGAAAATATAATGAAAACATCAGGGAAAAGAGACGTGGGGCAACTCTGGTAGGTTACCATGAAGGCAGGCTGCCTTAGCGGACCTGAACACTCCCAGTATTTGGGCGCGTTGCTCCTCAGTGGATTCAGGGGGGTTCACCCGGAGCGGAGGCCGGAGGCGGGGAGGACCTGCGTTGTCGCTTGCTCCCGGAGTGAGAGCAAGGGTCAAGGCCGCTTGCATCCGTCGGTTCGAGGAACAAAAGGGCGTCTTGTGGAGATGTGAAAGTATGACGAGTCCCGTCCATGGCCTGTATACTCAGAATCGCCGGGTAGGTCAGGGAGAAGCGTACTTTCCGTTGGTGTAGGATCCTGCATATCTCTGAAAAGGCCTTTCTCTTGCGGCTCACTTCTGCCGAATAGTCAGCAAATAGCAGGAGGTTTATGTCATTGAAGCGAAAGCCCGTAACATTCCGATAGGCTTTGAGGATGTCTGATTTATCTACATATGACAGGTATTTCACGATCACCGGGCGTGGACGGGAATATTTCTGGTTCTGTGAGCCCAGACGATGCGCCCTCTCCACAGTGCAAACGCGGGCAATACCCAGGGCTTCTGGGAGAAGATGCGAGCAAAGTTTGGGCAGGTCTGCAGGTTGGTATGACTCAGGCAGACCCACTATGCGCAGGTTGTTCCTTCTGGAGCGGTTCTCCAGGTCCTCTAGTTTAGTGGAGGTCATGTGGTGATGTTTGGTAAGTTCTTGTATGCGAGAGTTTGCAGATGCCAGCTCATCCTCCAGGGATACTCTGCTCTCGACCTCCGTCATGCGGTGCGCTTGGGCCAGGAGCTCATGCCTTAAGGACTGGATGCCCTTGGTGACCGCCGAGTCCACCGCAGCCTGGATTGAGGCCTGTATAGTGGGCTTCAACAGTCTAGCCACCGCCGCCGCTATTTTTGCCGAGTCAGCGGACGGTTCGTGGTCTGAGTGAGATTCAGCATCAGAGTCTGCCGAAAAGTCTACCTGTTGAGAGGCCTCCATGGCTTCCGTCAGGTCGCGCGCGCCCGTCTTCCCCGTGCGGGATTCCGATCGTGACTGGCCACGAGTCCGGTCAACGAACTTATCCATCTGGCTAGGTTAGATGTGGTGGTCACCTGTATCCTGTGTGGTACTCTGTGGCAGCTCTGGCTGGTATAAATGCCGATTTGATGGTCCCGATGGTCCGGAGCTCCTCACATGTGCGACTCGCTCTGCAGGCGCCGGAACCGGAAGTCCGAGGGTCAGGGTTTTTTACAATCTGGTCTGCAATTTATAGCCTGCATTTTGGATTTTGTTTTAAATTTATGAGTGAAGAGTATGATGTGGTTTGTCTGTTGAATAAATGTGTTGCCCCCACATCTTCTTCTGTGGGGGGTTGTACATTTAGCTTCCATTTATATAGAATGGGTGAGCAAATACAGACTTATGATTGGGGTGAACCCCAGGCATAGTTTTTCCAAGGAAACAATTTGGCTAAATAAGGAGTCTTCCTTCAGAATGACATAGGTAGTGTCATGATTGGAATACACTCCAGCCGTCGAGTTCCTGGCTGAGGTCAAGTTGGTTTGAGTTATAAAATGCTGGTAAAGTGAAATGTTCAGAAAATATCCCTATAGATTAATTTGAGAGTTAACCGAGATGGGATCAAGGAAAGTTTTGTCATCTAGACAGATTAAAGCTGAATTAATGTGAGGATGGGGCCTATCAGAAGGTGAGTATTGACCTCCTTGTGTAGTAGAGAAGATATCCAGGCATTCCAGCTAATGGGAAGGAGCAGGAGCCTTGCTCCAGGTGGATTCATTGTTAATTACAAGTCTGCTGCCTTGGCCAGGTGGATCGCCATGTAGTAGAAAAGCAGACCTGGGAACCCTATGCCTTGTTTACTCTTGGCCATTATGAGAATTGTTCTTTAAAGTCTGGCCTTCTGCTTTGCCCAGATGAAGGCTATAATATAGGCCAAACTCTTACAGGAAAAGTGAGCTGCTGGGAAACTAGAGGTGAAGACGAGCATTTATTTTAATGATGTTATTTCAACTGCACCACATAAAAGCTTTGTTATGGCAATATAGAAGGTCCTGCTGGAGAGCCTGCATTAGTGGTTTCAAGTTTAAGTTGAAACATTTCTGGGGAGCGGCCAAAAATTCAATACCCAGGTATTTAATGTTAGAAGATGCCCATTTGAAGAGGACATTTCCCCAAAATCTGTTCAGGATATTGTCTGAGAATTGCATACTGAGGGCCTTTGATTTACTAGGATTGACCTTGTAGTTGGAGAGGGAACTAACGTTTTTTTAGGTTCCACAAGTAAGACTGGAATGATGACATTGAGATATGAAATAAAAAACAGAAGGTAGTTAGCAAGAGCTAAAACTTGACAATGTCACCATGGCATGGTTGCTGTCAGGCTACCGTTTGGTAGCTGTGGTCAGTTGAACCTGGGTCTCTGAGGTGGTGGTGCTGTAGTGGTGCTTTAAGGATTGAGCTCTCCTTAAAGATAACTACTCAGTAGTTTTCCTCTGGGCTCTCTAGCTCCACCTAGTTACCAGTTGCAGTCAATCTGCAATCAGCCCAGCCTTCAAATACTGAGCATTTCCAGTGTTCTGAGCCTGTTTATTTGGGTTTGTCCTCATGTGTGCTGCTGCTGGATTGATCTCTGGATATTATTAAAACTTTGGCCTGTTTCCTCACTACTCTTCTGCCTTCTGATTTTGTACCTCACTGCCTGTTCTTAGACCTTAGACCTCAGCCTGTTTCTTGACTACTCTCCTGGATCCTGATTTTGTACCTGATTGCCAGTTTGTTGCTGACTCTGCTTGCCTGACACCGCCTAACCTAAACCTCAGCCTTGCTCCACTTCAGACTCTACCTTCCACAGTTACATTAACGATGCTGGGTTTGCCTGTATAGTACATGGAAAGGGTTCCATTATTAGGATGAATATTTAAAGGGGAGAAAAAGCAACCATGGCAAATTCTGTTTGGGGTGTTAAAATACTAATTTCATTTCCCTCCGACCCCGGTTTCATTTACCCTGACTGCAGCTGATGAATGGGAATATATGGCTTGTAGCCAGTGTCTCCTGTGTGTACCTCAGGCTAAATAACAGAGGGTTGCCTGAATGAAGTTTCAATTGACCCTATCAAAGGCCTTCTTTGCACCTGTTTATAGCAGTACGATTGGGGTTGCGGAAGTGGTGAATGTAGCTTTAATACCCTTTCCAACTTATCAATTTTAAAGTATTGATTTATTTATTGAAAATAATCACTCAGCTAACATCTCAAAGTCGTAAATTTACACCTCAAACAATTTTTTTTCAACAGCCACAGTATAAAAATAGTTTTGAGAAGTCCTTTAACCCCTTCGTGACTGACGACGTACAGTGTACGTCGCCAGCATCGGGGCTGTTTAAACAGACTCCCGGTGATTTTTGCCGCCAGGAGTCTGTTTAAACTTGTAGAGCCGACTGTCGGCTTTACAACAGAAGTGATCCTAAGATTGGGTTTAATAAGGAGTTGCGCTAATATTGCGCAACATAAAAATTTTCAACTACCACCATTTTATTCTATAGGGTCTTGGCATTCAGAAAATATATAATGTTGGGGGGTTTTAAGTCATTTTCAGGCCTAAAATGTGGAATATAACATGGGTGCAAAAAATGAAAAAGGGGCCTCAGTCATGAAGGGGTTAAAGGAGTTATAAAAAAATGAATACAAAAAATATAGGAACATATATTATTAGCAGAATTTACTTCTACAAGCATATGAATTAAAGTGACATTAAACCCTCCATTTTATTTTTTTGCTGCTGAACCTTTAAGTGATGCCTCTTGATCAAATCATCTTCTTCCTTCAGGTAGTTTTCATCAGCGCTGGTGCCGGTCCCTGATCCAGCGCAGACTGCTGTTTCTTCCTGTCCCACAGAGTCTGTATGACGTGCATGCTCCCGGCTGCGTGCATTCACCTTCACTGTAGCTCTCCTACTCCCCTCTGATGATATGGACTGTGCATGCACCCACACATACATCCTCCTGCATGGCCACTCAAGAAGCTGAGTTCTACAGCCAGGAGCAAGCAGCGCAGACACAGGTAAGTTTTTACCTATTTGGTAACTTCTTCATTTTTTATGTTTTTGCATTTATCTACTGCTTGCCAGTAACAAAATGAGACTTTAATGTCACTTTAATACTACATGTTGATTTTTGTACATAGGCAAGCTCATGAAAACAAAAATAATAGCATATTTACATATATTATTTACAGTAATATTGTTATAATTCATCTACATACCTAGTAAACATGCATCGTAAAATCTGTATTAATTGTTTTAAAGCAATACCACATAAGTTGTAAATATATCTTGCAAACCAACTATTTTGTTTGACCTAGTATTAGTTTACATAGATTTAAAACAGCAAAGGATTAGAAGGGAAAAAAAAGCTTTTTCTCTATATGGCTTAGACTTTACTTTAGCAATAATTATTTTTGGCAATAGCAGTAGTTACTTAATCTAACTTTTCTAACTATAGTATATCCTTTTGGCCTGTAATTGGTTTTTTTCTGCAACCACCTGAAGCATAGCAGACAGGTTTCTTTTTCAATGTTTCTATACTTTGCTTTGTGGTATCTGAGCAGAAAAACTAATTTAAAGTAAAACAAACAACTTGAGATTCTCCTAACCAGTCTTTCCTTTGAACTGATTATTTATAAATTATTCCATGCTTGCCCTTACTAGGTTTTGCTGTATGTTTGTATTTTGGATATTCTCTCGAGTCTCACAGGACTATTCAAAACACACGTTCTTCAGAGGATAATAAAGCCTAAGCTAATCCACTACTGGATAGGATGCCGAAAACATAAGGTATATATTGCTAGTGAGCCATGTGTACTTATAATTTCGAGAAGGGTATCCAGCTATAATTTTTGCTTGGCCTCATCTACCCCAATGCCTCCTCCAAATGTATGACATTTTAAGGGGCAGATAAGGGTGGCTTAAGAGAAGCTCACCAAACCCATATGTGCATCTCTAAGTAGAAGAGCAAGCCAATTAAATCAAATATCAGTCCACAAGTAATATGGAGATGCACAGACGCACCTGATGCCACTCAGCAAAGAGGAGCAAAATATGTCTCTCTTTTAAGCAAAACACCACTAAACGACTATTGGTACAGTAAGTGCATAGCCACCTATTGCATAATGTATATATAATAATATACAATTTAACTGTAAACATCTTGAATAGTTCTTACCTGTTCATGACTAGTTGCCTCAGAGCATTCTTTTGAAATATCAGTTGTGGGAGGATAACCAGTATCAATGAGATTTTCTGTGGGAACATTCTGGATTGGTTTCAGATAAGCAATTTCATTCTGCTTTGAGTAATTTATTGCTTGTCAAAGGAGGTGATCCATTATCCACACACTGAACTGTAATGTTGTAAATGGAATTGAATTCTCGATCCATGCTTGCTGTAGTGACAAGTTTATAATAACTACTAGAAGTTGGTATTAGTTTAAAGGACAGTGTGTTAGAGCTCTGACAAGTAACTTCACCATTCATTCCGGAATCCAAATCCTGAATTTTGATTAACGCTATGACTGTACCTGGAGGTGAATCCTCTGGAATTGTTGATGAGAGGGAAGTGACTGTTATTTCTGGGGCATTATCATTTATATCAATCACTTGAATTAATATGTTGCAGTGAGTGACATGTCCACCTCCATCTTTAGCTTCTACAGTCATTTCATAACTTTCTGATGTTTCATAGTCCAAATTTCCAGATATTTTAATATCCCCATTCAGAGGATCTATAACAAAGATTTGCTGGGCATTTTCAGAAATTTGGCTAAATGCATAGGTGATTTTGGAATTATATCCTTCATCTTTGTCAGTTGCATTTAAACTAATCAGTACAAAATCAAAAGGTGCATTTTCATGTAATCGTATGTGATATTTGTCCTGGGAAAATACTGGATAATTATCGTTAACATCTTGAACGTCAATTTTAACTATGACTGAACCAGACTTTGGTGGTTGTCCACCATCAAAAGCAGTCAAAACGAATTCATAGAAACTTTGCCTTTCCCTGTCAAGTGACTTTTCTAGTATAATTTCTGGGTACATAATTCCATCATTAGTATGTTTCTCCCCAAGGCTGAAGAACTCAGAACTTGTAAGTGTATACGTTTGAACAGAATTGGTGCCTATGTCTGGATCTTTAGCAATGCCTAGTGCAAACCGTACCCCAGGTAAGATAAGTTCACTAATTTCGATATAAAAATATTTCTTAGAAAATATAGGAGCATTGTCATTCACATCCTGAATTTCAATAGTAACTGTATACAAATTCAAAGGTTTTTCTATGACAGCTTCAAGGTTCAAAATACAGCTCTGTTTAGCCCCACATAATGCTTCTCTGTCAATGATTTCAGACACAAATAAGTCACCTGTCTCCAAATTCACATTGAAATACTGTTTTTTTTGCTGAGCAATGACCTGGAACTTTCTGATTGTGAGTTCCTTTACATTCAGCCCAAGATCCTTTGCAACATTCCCAACTACAGATCCTTTCTTTAGTTCCTCAGGTATTGAGTATTGTAATTGTCCAGAAATATTTCTAGTAAAAAAAGAAATAAAGCAAAATACTTGCCATACCATGGCCATCTGTGTTATGCTATATCCTGTCTTATGATCCATTCTGCACTGGAAAATACATCAATTTGGCCTCCTTTTACAAAGTTCGGAAAGTAGAAAATAGAACTAAAATATCCAGTATATTTTGTGTAAATATTCAGAAAATCCAGGAAACACAGTGGAAATTGTGCTGCAGTGCTTTCTTCTAACCTGTACTGTGAGACTATAGTAAAATTCATTGGGTTTTATCATCCAGAAGAGTCACACACACATCATAGGAGAAAGGAAAAGGTAGACTTGTGTCACTTATCTCAGAAGGACAACCCAGTGTGAACTGAGGGTACACATTTCTGTTATATACTCCTAAATCAGTTTGGGAGCTTGCTTTTTTACATTTAAAAATTATTGTAGTCACCACTGTTAGAATAAATAGCATAGATATCAGAGCTATAGCTATTACAAGGATATAAGATACATTTGATGAGGTCTGTGATGTATTCGGTTTTCTTTTTATCTCGGGCACAACTTGTTGAAAGCTTTCAGCCATAACTAAATTCAATGTGACTGTAGAAGACAGACATGGAACACCATTGTCCTTTACGAGAATCACAACCTTTTGTCTGAAAGAATCTTTGTCTGGAAGGTCTCGTCCTATTCTGATTTCACCTGTCTGCTGGCCAATAACAAACAGAGAAGGTTCAGAAACTTGTAAGAAATGATAGGAGAGCCAGGCATTGTGTCCAGAGTCAGCATCCACCGCAATCACCTTGGTCACTAGATAACCTTTCTCGGCAGTGTGAGGAATAAATTCAAATAATCCTGATTCTTCATTTTCCTGAGATGGATAAAGGATTTTAGGACTATTATCATTTTTGTCAATAATGCAAACCCTTACTGTGACATTACTGCTTAGAGCAGGAGTTCCACTATCTTTGGCCATCACTTGGAACTGAAATTCTCGTAACTGTTCATAATCAAAAGATCTCTGAGCATAAAGAATTCCAGTCATTGAGTTTATGGACATGTATGAAGATACTGGAATTTCTTCTATGTTACTGCTTAAAATGTTGTAAGTGATTTTTCCATTTTCATCACAGTCACGATCTACAGCACGGACATTGAGTATCGAGGTTCCTGGTTGATTGTTTTCTGAAATATAGAAAATGTATTGCATTTTCTCAAAAACAGGAGGATTGTCATTCACATCTGAAATAGCCAACGGTATAGATTTATTGCTTGTCAAAGGAGGTGATCCATTATCCACACACTGAACTGTAATGTTGTAAATGGAATTGAATTCTCGATCCATGCTTGCTGTAGTGACAAGTTTATAATAACTACTAGAAGTTGGTATTAGTTTAAAGGACAGTGTGTTAGAGCTCTGACAAGTAACTTCACCATTCATTCCGGAATCCAAATCCTGAATTTTGATTAACGCTATGACTGTACCTGGAGGTGAATCCTCTGGAATTGTTGATGAGAGGGAAGTGACTGTTATTTCTGGGGCATTATCATTTATATCAATCACTTGAATTAATATGTTGCAGTGAGTGACATGTCCACCTCCATCTTTAGCTTCTACAGTCATTTCATAACTTTCTGATGTTTCATAGTCCAAATTTCCAGATATTTTAATATCCCCATTCAGAGGATCTATAACAAAGATTTGCTGGGCATTTTCAGAAATTTGGCTAAATGCATAGGTGATTTTGGAATTATATCCTTCATCTTTGTCAGTTGCATTTAAACTAATCAGTACAAAATCAAAAGGTGCATTTTCATGTAATCGTATGTGATATTTGTCCTGGGAAAATACTGGATAATTATCGTTAACATCTTGAACGTCAATTTTAACTATGACTGAACCAGACTTTGGTGGTTGTCCACCATCAAAAGCAGTCAAAACGAATTCATAGAAACTTTGCCTTTCCCTGTCAAGTGACTTTTCTAGTATAATTTCTGGGTACATAATTCCATCATTAGTATGTTTCTCCCCAAGGCTGAAGAACTCAGAACTTGTAAGTGTATACGTTTGAACAGAATTGGTGCCTATGTCTGGATCTTTAGCAATGCCTAGTGCAAACCGTACCCCAGGTAAGATAAGTTCACTAATTTCGATATAAAAATATTTCTTAGAAAATATAGGAGCATTGTCATTCACATCCTGAATTTCAATAGTAACTGTATACAAATTCAAAGGTTTTTCTATGACAGCTTCAAGGTTCAAAATACAGCTCTGTTTAGCCCCACATAATGCTTCTCTGTCAATGATTTCAGACACAAATAAGTCACCTGTCTCCAAATTCACATTGAAATACTGTTTTTTTTGCTGAGCAATGACCTGGAACTTTCTGATTGTGAGTTCCTTTACATTCAGCCCAAGATCCTTTGCAACATTCCCAACTACAGATCCTTTCTTTAGTTCCTCAGGTATTGAGTATTGTAATTGTCCAGAAATATTTCTAGTAAAAAAAGAAATAAAGCAAAATACTTGCCATACCATGGCCATCTGTGTTATGCTATATCCTGTCTTATGATCCATTCTGCACTGGAAAATACATCAATTTGGCCTCCTTTTACAAAGTTTGGAAAGTAGAAAATAGAACTAAAATATCCAGTATATTTTGTGTAAATATTCAGAAAATCCAGGAAACACAGTGGAAATTGTGCTGCAGTGCTTTCTTCTAACCTGTACTGTGAGACTATAGTATAATTCATTGGGTTTTATCATCCAGGCAGGATAGATTTTTTTGCAGTCCAACAGTGACACTTAGAGCTCAAAATATGGTATTGCCGGTTTAGCCATTTACATTTAACATCAAAAATGCACTAGTTCAAATTATTTATAAGAATTGCATGTGTTTTCATTAACTACTGCTTTTTTTGAGCAAAGAATACATACATTTTTCCTATGTAGTAAATAATCAATATCAATCTATTTAAAATTACTGTATAGACAGTACAATTATAAATAAATTCCATGATTTAAAGATAACTAACATTGTCCATTTAATTCTAATGATGTACTTCCTATTTTGTTGTTTAATACTTTAATATTCTTCTCACCTCAGGTGACCAGACCATTTCTGAAAATGTTTACTTTAACATTTTTCACTTACAGCTTTTACAGTTTGTGAAAGACCAACCCCCCCTTTTCCCCAAGTTATATATTTTCTGGAAGCACAGAACAAATATTATATATAGATGATGCTACTGATTTTGCAGGTCACATGATAGTTGTGCAAATGTTTAGCAAATCAATATTTTTAATTAAAATACACAAAAATCACTATTAGCAAACACAAAGACAACACAACTTACAAAATTACTACTAAATTTAAAGCATACAACTTTATTGAGTTAATAAATATTAAACATTTCTGCATTTTAAATTGTGACTATTTGCAAAACTCTGAAATTTGCAAAATAGTACATTATCTGTACATGTAGTGTGTGTGTGTGTGTGTGTGTGTGTGTGTGTGTGTGTGTGTGTGTGTGTGTGTGTGTTTTTAAAGCAATTTTTTTTCTTAAGTATTGTCACCAAGTGGATCACAAGCCCATTGGTGATATTATATTTTCTAATTTTGACAGGTCCTCTTTGAAGACACAGAGGTTTGAACAGACCCTTGATGTGTCTCCTTTAAGGTGAAGAAAGAAATTGAGGACACAGAGTCCTTAATCTCATTCTTCCCTGCTGTTTGGCATTTATTGAACACAGAAGTGCTGAGGACTAACTGCATCTGTGTTCATTACCAAAACAGTGGGAGGTTAGTACACATGCCTCTGTATTTTTGATCTCCTTCAGTTTATGAATGATCATGGAAGGGCTCTTCTGAGTTCATTCACAAAGTGAAGAAGGTTGGTAAAAATCAGGGGCATGTGTATGTCCATACTCGCTAGCCTGAGCACAGCTGCTACCAATGAGACCAGCATGATGCCAAAACCGCAGCCTCATTGGTTACAATGGTGGGAGGGACAATAATGGTGCAGAAGTGGGCATGCAGCAGGCAGAGGGCACACAAGGGCTGGGGGAGAATGAACCTTTGCAGTATGGCAGGATGGCATATGATCAGCCCTCTTGCAGTTCTCTGAGAGATTGCAGAGAAGTGGGGATTGGACAGAGGAGGACACACGGAGTGACTTGATAGCTGCTGATGGCAGCTATTTCTAATGAGAAAAGTCTAAGTGACCCTACTGCTAAAAGCTTATGGTTGTTGACTTAGATGATGAGCTTGTAGCAGTAAGAAAGTCAACCAAAATATTTGAATTAAGATTTTTCACTACAGCTCCAAGAGGTAACATGTATTCTACAAGGATTAGACCACCAAAAGTAATATTGTCTCTTTATCCCTCCCCTGTGCTCCAGTGATTGAATGCCCTCGCGCTTCCTCATGTCTAATAAACTGTATTTGACATGATGACTCGTGGATCCCTAGACCTCCAGAGCAGAAGGGGAGAGGGTCTGCAGGGACTGGTTTGGGTGTGTATATTTTTTTATTTAAGACTCTAGACCAAAATGAGCATAGGATAGCCCCAAAGCAAGGTTTAAGTTTTATTCTGCCTGGAGTTCTTTCTTTACAAAAATATCTATTTCATGACTAGGCATGTACTGTTCTTTGCAGTTTAGTTCGGTGTACCTTGAACAACATTCCTCAAACTCAGGCTGTGCTGAACAAAGCCAAGCTACTACCGGCGCTCCTGCTGCATCCATTTAAAGATCTGTTGCTACAAAACTTTACCAAACATGAATGCAGAATTGCTTTACTATAGAAATTATATATATCTATTTATATACAGCCAGAGTATATGTCACCCTGTTTCCTTACTTAATGGTGTCCTCCTGTATCTTGTTGCAACTGTGCTGTCACACGTGTTAAAATTATTGCATTGCTAAAAAAAACTAAAGCATTTTCTTGAGTAAGCAAGTACTGATATTTACAAAGCTGTTAATGTGTAACGGTATTATAATACTATTTATCAATTTGATTAGTTTCATTGAACATGAGTCTAATCATGTAACTGTGTACAGTGCATGTAAAAAAATATAAATAAAGAGATTGCTCCATCACCTTTCCCAAGGTCATCTTAACTATATCATAAAAAGGCCATATTGAATTACTAGTCAATAAAGTACAAGGGGATATCAAAAGGTAATGTGTGCTGGTCCATAGCTGCTGTTCATGTGAACCTATAATAAAATGTTCATTGTTTTCATCACTACTCCCTGGTGTAAATTGCCTTTCTCTATCATTTATTCGGTACATACTAATCAAGTGTGCTTCCTAAGTGGATCATCAACAAATACAGTGCTGTCACAACAATACCCTTTGCAACTATTATGTGTGTGTGGGGGGAGGGGTAGATTAAGCAAGATCTCTTTCTCAATCTATATAAAGCATATCATCACAGAGGTTTCACTGGTCATCCAACCAGCTTTCTCAATTCAGAATTGAGAAAGCTGGTTGGATGATCAATGAAACCTGTTCAAGAAAAAAACAGCAAGTCCAGTTGCCTTGACTTATTTTTTACAGATATACCATGACCTGGATGAATGAGAATCTTCACAGACATCTAAATGAAGATGATAGGCTGATTTGCCTCACCATCTTTCAATAGTTTTGAAGGTCTGGGCAGTTCCAGAATATCTGTCATAAGGTTCCTTCTTGTGATTCACATCTCCAACATTTATGTGAAAGGTGTGGGAAAACCCAGTGTGGGGAAACTAGTGCTGGAGGGTCAGGGTTTTTTACAATCTGGTCTGCAATTTATAGCCTGCATTTTGGATTTTGTTTTAAATTTATGAGTGAAGAGTATGATGTGGTTTGTCTGTTGAGGAATAAATGTGTTGCTTCCATTTATATAGAATGAGTGAGCAAATACAGACTTATGATTGGGGTGGACCCCAGGCATAGTTTTTCCAAGGAAACAATTTGGCTAAATAAGGAGTCTTCCTTCAGGATGGCGTAGGTAGTGTCATGATAGGAATACACTCCAGCCGTCTAGTTCCTGGCTGAGGTCAAGTTGGTTTGAGTTATAAAATGCTGGTAAAGTTAAATGTTCAGAAAATATCCCTATACATTAATTTGAGAGTTAACCGAGATGGGATAAAGGACAGTTTTGTCATCTAGACAGATTAAAGCTGAATTAATGTGAGGATGGGGCCTATCAGAAGGTGAGTATTGACCTCCTTGTGTAGTAGAGAAGATATCCAGGCATTCCAGCTAATGGGAAGGAGCAGGAGCCTTGCTCCAGGTGGATTCATTGTTAATTACAAGTCTGCTGCCTTGGCCAGGTGGATCGCCATGTAGTAGAAAAGCAGACCTGGGAACCCTATGCCTTGTTTACTCTTGGCCATTATGAGAATTGTTCTTTAAAGTCTGGCCTTCTGCTTTGCCCAGATGAAGGCTATAATATAGGCCAAACTCTTACAGGAAAAGTGAGGTGAAGGGGCTATACGCAAGGCTGGGAAACTAGAGGTGAAAACGAACATTTATTTTAATGATGTTATTTCAACTGCACCACATAAAAGCTTTGTTATGGCAATATAGAAGGTCCTGCTGGAGAGCCTGCATTAGTGGTTTCAAGTTTAAGTTGAAACATTTCTGGGGAGCGGCCAAAAATTCAATACCCAGGTATTTAATGTTAGAAGATGCCCATTTGAAGAGAACATTTCCCCAAAATCTGTTCAGGATATTGTCTGAGAATTGCATACTGAGGGCCTTTGATTTACTAGGATTGACCTTGTAGTTGGAGAGGGAACTAACATTTTTTTAGGTTCCACAAGTAAGACTGGAATGATGACATTGAGATATGAAATAAAAAACAGAAGGTAGTTAGCAAGAGCTAAAACTTGACAATGTCACCATGGCATGGTTGCTGCCAGGCTACCGTTTGGTACCTGTGGTCAGTTGAACCTGGGTCTCTGAGGTGGTGGTGCTGTAGTGGTGCTTTAAGGATTGAGCTCTCCTTAAAGATAACTACTCAGTAGTTTTCCTCTGGGCTCTCTAGCTCCACCTAGTTACCAGCTGCAGTCAATCTGCAATCAGCCCAGCCTTCAAATACTGAGCATTTCCAGTGTTCTGAGCCTGTTTATTTGGGTTTGTCCTCATGTGTGCTGCTGCTGGATTGATCTCTGGATATTATTAAAACGTTGGCCTGTTTCCTCACTACTCTTCTGCCTTCTGATTTTGTACATCACTGCCTGTTCATGTTAGACCTTCAGCCTGTTTCAAATCATCTTCTTCCTTCCGGTAGTTTTCATCAGCGCTGGTGCCGGTCCCTGATTCAGCGCAGACTGCTGTTTCTTCCTGTCCCACAGAGTCTGTATGACGTGCATGCTCCCGGCTGCGTGCATTCACCTTCACTGTAGCTCTCCTACTCCCCTCTGATGATATGGACTGTGCATGCACCCACACATACATCCTCCTGCATGGCCACTCAAGAAGCTGAGTTCTACAGCCAGGAGCAAGCAGCGCAGACACAGGTAAGTTTTTACCTATTTGGTAACTTCTTCATTTTTTATGTTTTTGCATTTATCTACTGCTTGCCAGTAACAAAATGAGACTTTAATGTCACTTTAATACTACATGTTGATTTTTGTACATAGGCAAGCTCATGAAAACAAAAATAATAGCATATTTACATATATTATTTACAGTAATATTGTAAAATGATATTGTTATAATTCATCTACATACCTAGTAAACATGCATCGTAAAATCTGTATTAAATGTTTTAAAGCAATACCACATAAGTTGTAAATATTTCTTGCAAACCAACTATTTTGTTTGACCTAGTATTAGTTAACATAGATTTAAAACAGCAAAGGATTAGAAGAGGAAAAAAAGCTTTTTCTCTATATGGCTTAGACTTTACTTTAGCAATAATTATTTTTGGCAATAGCAGTAGTTACTTAATCTAACTTTTCTAACTATAGTATATCCTTTTGGCCTGTAATTGGTTTTTTTCTGCAACCACCTGAAGCATAGCAGACAGGTTTCTTTTTCAATGTTTCTATACTTTGCTTTGTGGTATCTGAGCAGAAAAACTAATTTAAAGTAAAACAAACAACTTGAGATTCTCCTAACCAGTCTTTCCTTTGAACTGATGATTTATAAATTATTTCATGCTCGCCCTAACTAGGTTTTGCTGTACGTTTGTATTTTGGATATTCTCTCGAGTCTCACAGGACTATTCAAAACACACGTTCTTCAGAGGATAATAAAGCCTAAGCTAATCCACTACTGGATAGGATGCCGAAAACATAAGGTATATATTGCTAGTGAGCCATGTGTACTTATAATTTCGAGAAGGGTATCCAGCTATAATTTTTGCTTGGCCTCATCTACCCCAATGCCTCCTCCAAATGTATGACATTTTAAGTGGCAGATAAGGGTGGCTTAAGAGAAGCTCAAAAAACCCACATGTGCATCTCTAAGTAGAAGAGCAAGCCAATTAAATCAAATATCAGTCCACAAGTAATATGAAGATGCACAGACGCACCTGATGCCACTCTGCGAAGAGGAGCAAAATATGTCTCTCTTTTAAGCAAAACACCAATTTACGACTATTGGTACAGTAAGTGCATAGCCACCTATTGCATAATGTATATATAATAATATACAATTTTATTGCTTGCCAAAGGAGGTGATCCATTATCCCCACACTGAACAGTGATGTTGTAAATGGAATTTAATTCTCGATCCATGCTTGCTGTAGTAACAAGTTTATAATAACTACTAGAAGTTGGTATTAGTTTAAAGGACAGTGTGTTAGAGCTCTGACAAGTGACTTCACCATTCATTCCGGAATCCAAATCCTGAATTTTGATTAACGCTATGACTGTACCTGGAGGTGAATCCTCTGGAATTGTTGATGAGAGGGAAGTGACTGTTATTTCTGGGGCATTATCATTTATATCGATCACTTGAATTAATATGTTGCAGTGAGTGACATGTCCACCTCCATCTTTAGCTTCTACAGTCATTTCATAACTGTCTGATGTTTCATAGTCCAAATTTCCAGATATTTTAATATCCCCATTTTGACGATCCATAACAAAGATTTGCTGGGCATTTTCAGAAATTTGGCTAAATGCATAGGTGATTTTGGAATTAGAGCCTTCATCTTTGTCAGTTGCATTTAAACTAATCAGTACAAAATCAAAAGGTGCATTTTCATGTAATCGTATGTGATATTTGTCCTGGGAAAATATTGGATAATTATCGTTCACATCTTGAACATCAATTTTAACTATCACTGAACCAGATTTTGGTGGTTGCCCACCATCAAAAGCAGTCAAAACGAATTCATAGAAACTTTGCCTTTCCCTGTCAAGTGACTTTTCTAGTATAATTTCTGGGTATAAAATTCCATCATTAGTACGTTTCTCTCCAAGGCTGAAGAACTCAGAACTTGTAAGTGTATAAGTTTGAACAGAATTGGTGCCTAGGTCAGCATCTTTAGCAGTGCCTAGTGCAAAGCGTACACCAGGTGAGGTAAGTTCACTAATTTCTATATCAACATATTTATCAGAAAATATAGGAGCATTGTCATTCACATCCTGAATTTCAATAGTAACTGTATAAAAATTCAAAGGTTTTTCTATGACAGCTTCAAGGTTCAAAATACAGCTCTGTTTAGCCCCACATAATGCTTCTCTGTCAATGATTTCAGACACAAATAACTCACCTGTCTCCAAATTCACATTAAGATAATGTTTCTTTTGCTGAGCAATCACCTGGAATTTTCTCATTGCAAGTTCCTTTACATTCAGTCCAAGATCCTTTGCAATATTCCCAACTACAGATCCTTTCTTCAGTTCCTCAGTTACTGAGTATTGTAATTGTCCAGAAATAGTGCTGATCAATAACGAAATGAAACTAAATACTTGCCATGCCATGGCCCTCTGTCTTCTGTATCCTGTACTATGGTCCATTCTGCACTGCCAAATACATCAGTTTGTCTACTTTTAAGAAATTAAGAAAGTAAAATCTAAACCCAAACAATCCAATATATTTTGTGGAAATCTTCAGAAAAATCCAAATTACAAGAAACACAGTAGAAATTGTGCTGCAGTGTTTCCTTCCAATCTGTACTGAGAGACTATAGTAAAATTAATTGGGTTTTATCATTTAGGAAGGAGAAAATATTTTACAGTCCTACAGTGACACTTAGCGTTCAAAATAAGGTATTGCAGGTTTGAAGTCTTGGACATTCACAGCAATGTCAAATATGTACTGGTTCCAATTATTTATAAGAATTGTATGTTTTCCATGATTCATTGCTGGTTTGAACACAGAATACACTTAATATATTTATGTCGAAAATGATTTTAAATAGGGTCAGTTATGGATTGTGATACAATGAAACAGGTCTTAATTGTAATTATACCCTGAACCACACCTTCAACTGCAAGGTGGGAACTGGGTTTGTTTGCATGATCCTAATTCACGGGGAGGCAAAAAACAAATGCATTAGGTTTTTAACCATCTGGCTCTTCAACGCAGCCAAAATCTATAGAATGCAATATGATCTTTTATTAAAGTTCCCCAACATAAAAGGTACTCTAACAGAATTAAAACATTTTATTAACAGTTAATAAAATGTTCATTGCCTGTTTATATAAAAAGGTATGGTGCAATAGAGTTTAAAAGCCTGTTAATTATATGAAGATATGTTATTAATATATTTAAAAATGAATAATTCACTATGCACCACAAAACATAAGTGTTTGCCTTTTAAAACTCCCAGTATTTGCAGACTTGGAGCTGTACAGAACTTCTGTTTCTTATTTATAACCTTTTATTCCTGCATGCCCACAATAAGTTGTCTTCAATAAGTGCTTGAGGTATACAAAACATAACAGTTCCAAGTTGTTTATATGTGTTCCTATATTGCATTTCAACCTCCTTGTGTGCACATGCTTACATTTCCTGATTGACTTTAAGACATTATACAGAAATATGTGTCTTAAAAGCTATTTAAAAGGATTTATAATTCCTTTAACAGGAATTACATATCATTGAACTACACAACATGATATAGGTAGTCCTGAAGAGTGCAGTACAATAAATAAATATAACTACAATCATGTTTTCAAATTCCAAAATGTATTAGATTTGGACTAGACAATTTATTCAATGTAATCAGTTCTACAGTTCTTCAATTCTGTTTTGGTCTTTGGTATGTATTTGTTAAGTAATTAATACATACTGTATATGTTCTATTTGAAATAAATATACCAAAGAAAACTTTAGCAATCTTAACCTTAGCAACCTCTAATATACACTAAACGTTAAGCTCTGTATGCATATCTAGATGCACAAAGAAAAATGTATAGCAATCAAATTGTTGCAGAAATATTCTACAGGACACCCCAAATAAAGAAACAGTTTTGACCCAAATGACAAATCAAGTTAGCTCTGCACGTGTGCAACTACCACAATACTACCTTGTTTAAATATATGGGATTCATGTATGTACTAAAGTATTAGTACATGTTCATTTTGCAGAGTACAAGGGAATTATGAACAATGCTGTGGCTTACATTGCAGCTACCTACTTTGCCTGTTTTCAGCCATATGTCCGTTAAAGTAGGCTATACACTGTGTGAATTTCATGTGATTTGATTAACCCGTTAAGGACAAAGGCCTTTTTTAATTTTTTGTTTACATGTTATAATCCACACTTTAGGCCTGAAAATTACTTAAAAACCCCAATCATTATATATTTTCTGAAAGCCAAGACCCTGTAAAATAAAATGGTGGCAGTTGCAAATTTTTAGTTGTACAACATTAGCGCAACATATTATCAAACCCAAAAATGCAGTTAAAAATGCACTAAAGTTAAATTTAGTGCCCCAAAACTCTATATAAAACCATTTTTTTGTAACATATAAAAGATGAGGTTACAATGAGTAAATAGATACTCAACATGCCCCGGTTAAAAATGGTGTGTGTCCATGAAACTGCAACAGAATTCAGTACCCCAAAAGGTCCATACACGACACTTTAAAAGCCCCTACAGGTCATCAGTGTAGAGATACGTGTAAATATTGGCCCTAGAATTATTGCTCTCACTCTGGCTTGGGCAGCGATAGCCAACATGTGTAGTGCAATCGTCGTTTTTATACGTAAGTGCACCCGACGTGCACCCAATGCTTACAAGCCCCCCATATGATAGCATATTGGTGGTGACAGGTCCTCTTTAAGGTGATACTGGGGGTCCAAACGACCCCTATTATCACCTTTCTACTTTAAATAAGCTATTGTAGTGCAGATTGCACTTCAATAGCTTATTGCTGAGCTTCAGGAGCCCAGCAATGACAGCAATGGGACCGGAAGTGATGCAATTCGCTCCAGGTCCCATAGAACGGAGAGGAGAACGGTGAATTGACGTTCATTGCTCTCCTCCCCAGGTTCCTGCCAACACCCGAAACACTGATCCTGGGCCTGTAAGAGGAGCAGCGGAGCCCAGGAAACACAGCTGGGGTGTCAGGCTGTGAAACGGCCAATTTACCGGATCGTAGAAGCAATCTGGCAGCAGCTAAGCCACCAAAATCACTTCTACTGTAAAGCTAGCCGCTGGCTCTACAAATCTGAACAGAGTTATGGTAGCTAAAAGCCGCCAGGAGTCTGTTTAACCCCTTCAGGATTCATGACGGGATTATCCCATCATGGGTCGTGACAGGGTTAAAAAATGTGTACAGTGCTTGCCCCTGTTGGGGAAGCATGAAGTAGCAGGTTGAAAAATCTTTTGACTGAACAGAGCTAACAGCCAATCAGCTGCAAGCTCCATTCGGGTCTTCTATCAACGGCCACCTGACAGCTGTCCGAATCCATCCATGATGTGGTTGTGATTTTATGTAATTATTGCAAAAATCACAAGTGTTTAGAACATCAAATCTAAAACTGAACTTATCTTAATTTTATAAACCATATATTTAACTTCAAAAAAATCTGCTGTACACTTCCACAGAAATTTAAATGCAGTGCTAATTACAAAAACACACACATATATACAGGTTGTATGTATATATATATATATATACATAT